TATATATATATATATATCTCTAGAGAGAGAGAGAGATATCTATATATATTGCATTTTATGTGTAACAATCTGGCCATACAGTCTTTGTACAGCTAGATTTACCAGATCTATGAGGATCTACCCAGTCGATTTGTATCCAGTCAGACAGGTCCCTATACTACATAGTTGGTTGTAGATCTAAAGCAGATTGTACAATCAGATAGTATTGTGTGTGGTGAGCCTAAGAGGAGGAAGAAGCAGCAGCTGTTCTCTGGTGTGTGTGTGTACACTGATGGGTTAATCTGTACAGCATATCTACTGGAACTGAACTATTGCATTGTTTTTACTTTCCACTGTCATCATGTTTTGCAGTATAGGAGCTTCACATGTCATGGTCCATATAGCCAAATTGCCTTTCTGCTGGATCACGCAAACCGTGATGGCTAATAATCTGAGGTCCACAAAACTGATGATGGTGGTTCACCTCTGTATGATCACGGGGTGGAATTTTGTCGCACAGTGTCATGCTTTTTCATGGTGCGGGTGGAGAGGTAGCTGTCAGCACCATGGAATTGAATGACGCTAATCCTGGGATGGTAGGATCCATTCAGAAAAGTTCATCTCTGTCCAGGTCTGCTCTTCTTCCTATTCTATGCCATTATGGGGAAGGAGCATTTGTTGACAGGTAAGAGCAGTGGGGGAGGGGGGAGAGGCAGACGATAGGTAAGGGTAATTCCATTTACCCCAAATTCACCTGGAAAAGTGGAATTACCCTTTAGGTGGTGTTCACCTCAGACTCTTGCCTGAGGTGAACACCGCTTAAAGGTTCTTGCCCAGACTCTTCTCCCCTTCTGTTTACTTCCTGCTTCAATCCTCCTTTTGAGTGTCCATGTCACCGCACCGCTGTATTTCTGGTCCCCCCCCACCTGCTAATGGCAGTGGTGAGGGACCCATAGGTGCAACATAGGTGAGAGTATCTGACTTGACAAAGTAAAGGCAAATAAAAGCATAGTATAACGGGTTAGGGGTGAGTGGGAAAAATCATTAGTTCAGTTAGTGGCACTAAACACTGTAGTTAAATCATGAAAAATGCAATGGAGTTTAAAAAAAATAATAATACTTAAACCACCTTACCTATTAACAGAAATGTATCTTATTTGTGTATCACTCAGCTATAGATCCTGAAATCATCTCTGAATTGGTGCTGACACTGTCCTTCCTTCTGGAGGGTGGCTACTTTTGTTCCCAATGGTCCCTGTGTGTGCTGTAAAATAGCCACCGCTCCAAGCTCGCTCCTGTGATGGACTGCAATCTCAATACAAATTAGTAAACTAAAGCTGGCCATACACCTATAGATTATCTGCAGATTTTCTACGGTCAGATGGAACAATGCAACAGATTCCTCCATCTACGCTAAACTGTGTGGATGGAGGAATCTCCCACTGGGCCAAACTTCAGTATCTTGCTAGTCGGCCCCGGTGGCTGTCAAAATACCTGAACACTCCCTGCATCCAATCAGATTATTTTGACAGCCAGTGGGGCCCACTAATCAGATACTGAATCTTGGCCTAGCAGTAGATTCCTTCATCCACACAGTGCAGCCTATGGAGGAATCTGTTGCACTTTTTCCATCTGACCGTAGAACATCTGCAGATAATCTATAGGTGTATGGCCAGCTTTAGTTTACCAATTTGTATTGAGATTGCAGTCCATCACTGGAGTGAGTTTGGAGCGGTGGCTACTTTACAACACAAAGGGACCATGAGGAACATAAGTAGCCACCCAACAGAAGGAAGGACAGTGTCAGCACCAATTCAGAGATGACTTGAGGATCTGCAGCCTATTTTTTTTAATAGTTAAGGTACTTAAATGCATTGTTAAGTTTTAACCCCTGAGTTTAGTGTCACTTTATACGGTGCTGTGACTGAAAAAAGGGTTGAGAGATGCTGAGGTAGATAAATAATATATTTGTAACATTATGTTCCAAACCGTTTAGACTGCAGGGCAGTTATGGTTCGCTTTTATTTCTTTCATTCTTTATCATCCCGGGTCAGTGTGGTGTACTGTGTATTCTCACACTTCTGTATGGTGTAATACAGGCTTGAGGTTTCATCATCTGGCTGGACATAGTCTATTATTGTGCA